CAGACGGAGCAAAGCAAGCAGCACCCCACACACACCCAGAGCCCCTAACTCAGTTCTTGCCTCATGCGCCTGCCTTGAGTTCTTACCCTAATTTCTCATCATGATGGATTGTGATCCCCAAGGCTGCTTTCCTCCCCAAGTTCTTTTTGGTCCTGGCATTTCATCACAGCAATAAAAAGCCTAAGAGAGTAGTCGTTCTAATGGTGCAAGATAGATTCTCAAAGAGAGTTTATTTACATTTCCCTGATAGCTGAGAATGTTAAACAGTTTTTTAAAACATTTATGGGCCATTTGTGCTTCTTCCTTTGAGACTAGCTGTTCATTTCATTATCCTATTTACCGACTGGCAGTTCTGAGGTTTGGGTATTTAAATTTTATAGTGCTTTATTTATTCTATATATCAAGCTCCCAGCGTGAGGTATAGTTGGCAAAGACTTTGTTCTTAATCTGTGGAATATCTGCCTGTTCTGCTGATAATTTTCTTTGCTGTGTAGAAACTATTAAATTCCATAAAGTCTACTTCTTGGTTCTTGAGACTATGCCCTGTGTCATTAGAGTTCTCTTCAGCAGGTTCTTGCCTATACCATTGACAATACCCCAAACAAGTGTATTCCCTATGTTTTGCTCTAGAAGCCTCTTTCTGTTTGGGTTTTGTCTATCTATGATCATTTGTGTTTACATGTGATCATGGTATTTTTGGTTTGTTTTCTAGTTTCCTGAAGAATGCCATTGGAATTTTGATAGGGATCATGGTGACTTTGCAAATTACTTTTATCCATATGGACATTTTCATAAAATTAACTCTGCCAATCCAGAAACATGAGTGGCTTCTCCTCTATCTGGCAGCTTTATTTCATTTCTTTCTTTCATCATTGCATGCTGTTTTGAGCTAATAATTATTGCTCACATTTCTTTTATAATATATTTTCATGTCCAAGATGGTTTACACTGTTTATTTGCAGTATAATGAGCATATCATACTTGTGGTCTACTTTCTAAAGTTAGATATTATGGAGCCCTCAGTGACAGATTGGTAAAAGACTTTCCATAGGGATAATTTCATGGAATTTGTCTTTTCTGGTCCATTTATATCATTATTACTACTTTAATGTAATAAGACATGTATTCAAAATTCTGAGGCCTGGAGTGATAACTCAGTCTGCAGATTGCTTGCCTTCCAAGCATGAGAACAAGACTTTAATACCCAAAAGTCATGCAAAAATATCTGGATATCGTAGAGCATTCTTGTAATGCCTGTGCTGGAGATGAGGAAGCACAAAGATCCCTAAGGTTAACTATAACGGGGTTCAATTAAAGATGCCACAACTAGCTAAAGGGGAGCTAAAAATCTGAGGGTAAAGACGTCTACTTACAATGGGATTCTCTGTCCATATATTTTTATTCTTCTCTATATTCTTATTTTTTCCTTGTTTTCACATAGTCCTATCCATTACAAATGTTCCCAGTCATATATACCCTTAAAACCAGCAATTCCTCAGCCCTGGCAGGTTCCATGGCTGGAATTCTTTTGCCCAATAACAAACCAGGTAAGTGTTTTCACACACATACAAAGATCCATGGGAGTGGCTAGTACACATAGAATGAGCTTAATGAAAAAAAAGTTAATTAAGAAAGAAATTAAATCATCAGGGAATTCAAGAGGAGAAGGTTAGTTTGCTACACTACATTTCTAGGTGGTAAATAAAAGGTTTATTTTCAGTAAAATTTTGAATAACACATGGATTGTTTAAATCAGCACAACGTATCCTTTCTCCCAGTAAGCATAGAGGCTACCAGGTATCCAGGCAAACTATGTAAACAGTTAGGTAGTGTAAACAGAGACTACCTTTAGTTTCCCAGCTGCCCAGACTAGAATAATCAGACAGAACTATATTAATTACAACACTGTTTGGCCAATGGCCCAGGAATATTTCTAGCTAGCTCTTATATCTTATATTAACCCATTTCTATTCATCATCTATCACCACGAGGCTGTGGCCTACTGCTAAGATTCTGGCATCTTTCTCCTTCAGCAGCTATCTGACGTCTCCTTGACTCCTTCTACTCTCTCTCTATCTCTGTTCAGATTTCCCACCTAACTTTGCTAAGCCATTGACCAAAACAGTGTTACCTATTAACCAATAAAAGCAACATATATACAGAAGGATATCCCACATCAAAGTAGAAATCTTGGCTCTTAATCAGATAACACATGTACATGAGACCTGCAGGTTTTGTTGGCCTAGGTCTGGAGTTAGACTTACTGCTCTTAGCGAAGAAGAGACCCAGACCTCCTAATTATCAGTTCTGGGCTATGCTGTTATCAGCAGTTCTGGTCACGGGGTAAAACCAGAACAGCAGCTTGGGCAAATAGCAATTCTATGTCCTTGGTTATCTGTGACTATCTTAGATGAAATGCTCTATGCCTGGACCCTAAGCACTGACCAAATGCCTGCTGATAAAGATAATTGCAGGTCTCTCTGTTTACCAAGGTGAGAGGAATGAAGGCCTGGCAGTGGGGAACTGTTTTCATTAAACAGTTCTTAACTGTAGGAATTAATCCCCAAATATGTAACAGAAAGGAATACAGCAAAGGGCAGCCACTTACAAAGCAATAACGCCAAAGATCCTCAGTATTAAGAGCACTAGCCTTTTGTTTTAGCCTTTATCAGTTCCCTTAGTTCAGATAAGCTGCTCATGAAAAGATGGCCGAGCAATTACTGTGTAATGTTGCGGCTTGTAGCATACCTAGCTAGACAGCCTGGCCTACTTGACAAAGTCCAGGCCAATGAGAAACCCTGTCTAAAGAATAAAGTGGATATCAACTAAGGAATTTCATTCTAGGCTGTCTTCTGCACTTAAGCTCAGCAGACCACTTCAGGTCATATCTTTAGTTTGTATGAACTTCAAAACACATCTTTTTTTGAATTGTAAAAATTTTCCTTTGGAAAATTTATATCCAAGAGAGTAAGAAGTTTTTGTGTGTTGTTCAGATGCATGTGTGTGCTCAGCTTTGTTTATGTGCATGTGTGTGCTCATGGACTAGAGGTCAGAAGACAACCTACAGTGAATTCCTTAGTCATGACTTAAGGTCGTGACTCGTGTGCAATTCTTGAGTGTCAGTTGTTGTAATGACTCCAAATGAGTTTTCTGCTGTCTCCCTTGGGTGGTCAGGTTCTCTGCACAGTTGATAATTGCAGAATGAGTAGATTAAGCATCTTCTGCCTCAGATTAAGCATCTCAAAGTGGCATTGCTCCATTTCTTTCTTCTCATTGCAAGGGCCTCAACTCTGCCCCCCCATGGCACTTTTTCTTCAAGGGAATGTTTTGATGCTTGAAGTCATCGGGAAGAAAACTGGCTCTCTCCTTCATAGGAACACTCAAAAATAGAATAATCTTTATGGTTTTATTTAGAAACCACTTCAAGACCACTTAATCAGGTACTTAACAGACTTTGTGACAGAATTCTTCTGGGACTTTTTTAAGATCCATTGCTATTTTTACAAAAACTGTTCCTAAAACTACATTTTATAAGGAGAACCACAGCACTGGAGAGATCCTCAGTAGTAAAGAGCACCAGCTGCTCTTGCAGAGGACCTAGGTTCATTCCCAGCACACACATGGCAGGTCACAATTATCTAATTCTAGTTCTAGGGAATCCAGTATCTTTTCCTGACCTATGCAGGCACTGGGAATACATGTGGCGCACAGATATACAAGTGAGCAAACACTCATATGCATAAAACAAAAGTGTAATGACTTTTTGAAAAGTTTTAAAAAGAGAATCACAGAAGAGGAAGAATTTTTAGCTCTTTGTCTCCCAGCGGTTTGGTGAAGTGGTCCTGCCCAGGTGTGAGGTGTTTCTGTTGCAGCATGAGTTTTCCTTTGTATCATTGATCTCCTTAACTGAGAATATGGTCAAGTGGGGTCTCATGTAATGAGACTCATCTGTTTGGACCTCAAAGCTTCGTTCTCAAATAAGCGATTCTCTAACAGACTTTGATCTTGTAGTGTAAACAGCCACAGGTTCCATGTAACCTTCATTCTGAGAGGCCACGGGAACACACTGCTCTGTACAGCTTGCAGCGCAAAGATAAAAGTAACAGCTGAACAATTGTAACAGAATCAAGCTGTCTCAGTGGTGTACTTATTGGCACATCTTATCAAAAAAAGAAGGCACACTCTGAATTCTGATGTTTTGCTAAGGTCTATCAATTTTCATGAGCTTGTAATTAAGAAAATATTATACTTGGCAGAACTTTCTGCTATTGTCAACTAACTGAAAATCAAAGGAAAAGTGTGTTGTGTAATGTAATTGCTACAAATTGTGGCTATTTGGCATACTGGTGTAAGCCCTGGAAGGATTTTCATTGTGTTTGTGTGCTGTCTGGAAGGACAAATTGCAAAATTAGCTTCAGACAATTTTGTAAATGTGAGCAGTAAATCACGGAGAATAAATAGTTTGTTTTGTTCCCCTTATACATAGGTTTGCTTTGGAGTCACAGGTGCTATGCCTCCCTTTTACAGCAGATGGCAGTAATGATGCATCAAAAATTCATTCAAGCTTTTGTTTTGGTGTGTGTGTGCGCGCGTGTGTGTGTGTGTATGTGTGTTTCTGTCCTGCTATCTGAATAGTGTTTAAACGTATGTGACAACTGAATCTAGAATATATAATGAACATATAGAATATATAATGAACATTTGTAGTTGGAATTTTCTTAGCATTCTTCTCTCCTTATTTTATTTCTCTTTTTAATAAGGGCCTGTATTCTTTATACTTTGAAAAAGTCGTCATGCTTTAACACAACAAAAGAAGCTTGTTTTTAACTTTTTCCCACGCAGACATCTATTTGGCATTTGACCAGAAGAATGCTAAGGACATATAGCCAGGACAGTGCTCTGGAGAAGTGGGAATTCTATATTCCAAACTTCTGTTTCTTAATCTTCACTTCCATGTGGAAATTTGCTAAGTACCAATAAGGGATCCCCTCTCCTTTCAGATCCCAGGAACTTCTTCTGTGGTTCAGAGAAAATGGAAGCAGCAGCAACCGGTTTCTCAGCCCCGAGGGTCCGGACAGCAGAGCAAGGCCCGGATTAGCGCTGTGGCTGCTGAGATAAAGCAGATCCGAGCACGGAGGAAAACAGCCCGGATGCTCATGGTCGTTCTTTTGGTCTTTGCAATTTGCTATCTCCCAATCAGCATTCTCAATGTGCTAAAGAGGTAAAGCCCGTGTATTTATTTGAAAATCAGGCAGCTTGACATTTAATTAAGAACTCCTTTCTTTCTAAACAGACAAAACCCTTTCCTAGGTACTTTATCCGGCCAGTCAACTCAGTTGTTAGAACACTTTAAGGCAACGTCAGCCTTCTAACATGCTCTGTCAGTAGAGATTTTCAGTTGAATGGTAGATAAAATAGCTGTTTTCCTAACTTCTTGGGGTAGATTGCTAAGCCTTAGATGGAGGAAGCATTCTAATAAAAATTGTGTTTCAATAGCTAATATCGTAAATAAAATTTCACATCTGAATTCTTTTTCATGAGAATAAATGGGTTTCCAACATTGTTCTCAAATATATAAATGACCACACTACAATCCTTTCTTTCAAAGAAAATATTTTCAGAATAAAAAGAGACAAGAATTATTCAGTTGGGGCACTAAGCACAGCAGCCATAAAGTAGATATTTTGTGTTCAACATTAAACCTAGAGAAAGATAGTCCATTTCTTGAAGTTATTGAAATAATTTCAGTATCAATATTAATAAAACATATGTATGTGTTATATTTATATAATTTTATAATATATAAATATTATAGCATTATTTAATAATAAACATTTATAAATAATTATATAATATTATAACATTATAATATTATACATCCTACATATTTTAGAATAATATGGTACCATGTTATATTCATGACAATATAATATATTACCATGTTGTATTGTATCAAACCTGTTGCACACAGACTGGTCCCAAGGCAACCTTAATTACATTTCTAAAAGTCTTCAAACTTAATCTGTCCCTTTTCCCAAAGTCAGAGTCAATATCATATTCCTCACAGCTGGGGACCTTAGAGACAGGTAGGTTCAGCTAGAGTCAGATAAAAGGTGGTATAACCAGCTGAAAAGACTTGATCTTTGTGTTTGATTGTTTAAAGATTTTTTTAATGAAGAAGTGGAAAATGAGCTTTTGTGCAGAAACATCGTAGCCTTGTATGTCTAAGGCTTTGAAAACCCCTGTTCTTGAGATCTGTGTCCACTTACAATGCATCATTTACCCTCTACTTCCGCTAAGTCTCTCCTCTCATGTTACTTCTCACAGAAATCAAATGCAAAAATATTAAGTCTTTGCCAGCTTCCGTTTTCTGATGTTAAGAGCGTCCTAGACATGAATGGCACTGAATAGATTCCTCCTTCCTCTTCCCCTCACCCTCTCCCTTCTGCCCCTCCTCCTCTCTCCCCTCCTCCTTTCCCCTTCTTCCCCTCCTCTGTTTACTAGTTTAAACAAACTAGTTTAAGAATGGATTTAGCACTCCTATGAGGTTCACATTTGAATTTCTTCTATCTCTGCTCTTGACCTCTGACTCTAATTATTTCCAAATGCCCTCTTGTCAATAATAGTCAGCTTATTATTCTGAATTAAGTACCTTCCTTTCCTGGGGAGAAAAATTTTCACGTTTAAAAGTGTTTCAAGTTTTGAGCAATATGCCTGTTGCTATAAACACAAACATTTTAAAACAATTTTGAAAATTATTTCTATGGCTACTTGTAGAAGGAGCGGCGGGCTGCGTCCCACCACCCGGCTAGCTTTACACCCGAAATAATTACATGGAAACTGTATTCATTTAAACACTGCCTGGCCCATTAGTTCTAGCCTCTTATTGGATAACTCTCACATCTTAACTAACCCATATCTAATAATCTGTGTGCCACCACAATGGCATGGCTTACCGGCATGAGTCTAGCCAGCATCTGTCTCGGGAAGGGGAATCATGGTGTCTGCCTGACTCTGCTTCTTTCTCCCAGCATTCTGTTCAGTCTACTCTGCCTATCTAAGTTCCTATCAAAAAGCCAAGGCAGTTTCTTTATTAACCAATTAAATTAACACATAGACAGAAGACCTACCTACATAAGCTGCCATTTTTAAAAATATATATCTTTAAATTTAGCTTTGCTTTGCATATCATTTTTGTTTTCATTTATTTTTCACACACTGTAAAGTCCTATCTTCTTTTTCTTGAAATGTAGCCTTTTGCCTGTTTGACTAAAGCTAACTTCCTCCAGGTGATCTAGTATTTCAGAGATTTCGAACTAGCACTTGTATCTTATTGTAGACTAAATTTGTCCACATTCTTTCACTCTGTATGTGGTTTTACAAACTTTTACTGCTCTATAGAGCATCACTGTGTCTAAGAAATTCATTTCTATCATACATCTTTCTCTTTGCAAAGCAGTCTAAGATACAAGTCACATGGTCGTTGATAGGGCCTCCAGGAGGGAACAGATTTCTTCATCCTTGGACAGAGTAGCTGCAAGTGTGTGGGTGGGTTTGTGGGCATCATTGTTAAATTCTACCAGAAAAGAGAGTGGGAGATTTCTATGAATAGAATACGGTGGGCGTGATTTTTCTTTGCAGTGGTGTGTGTGTGTGTGTGTGTGTGTTGCTGCACACATATCATAACATGGGTATGGAGGTTAGAGGAAAAGAGAAAAGTTATTGGGAGTCAGTTCTTTCTTCTGCTCTTCATTTCTACAGTTGTGTTGTGTACTCCAAGGTAGCCGGGCTATGAGCATCCAGGAGATTCTCCTGTCTCCACCTGCAAGCTCACAATATGATTGTTAAGATTACAGATGTGCGCTAATATGTTAGGATTTTTGTGGGCATTCTGAGAATCTGAACTTAAGTCTTTACAAGAATTACTTTTACCTCCTACCTAATCACCCCACACCAGTGAAAGACAATGTTAAAAATTGATCAAAAATGGTCTTTGAGTGTACTGTAATACATTTTCAGTTTAACATAGTATATGAAAACTTGAAACTCATGTACCTAAGGACTATCAGAGTCTTACTCATTGAAAACCAGTCACTTACTCTATACAAAAATGCCTCATGGAAATTTCAAAGAGACTGGGAACGTTAGAGATTAGGAAGTGTACATTCATCAGTGCACAAGTGAACGTGGGAAGAATTCAGCCATCCAATTTTGGGCTGCTTATTAAAATATGTGCAATGGGTCTGGAAGATGGCTTAGTGGGTAAAAGCAGTGGCTGGTCTTCCAGAGGGCCAGGGTTCAACTCCCAGCACCTACATGGCTGCTGACCACCATCTGTAACCCCAGTTAAAGGAAACCCAGCATGCTCTCATGACTGCTGTGAGTACCAGGCATGCACACAAGTGATGCACAGACATGCATGCACGATACCATCCATGCACATAAGGAATAGCAACAAGGTTAGTCAATCCACCTAGAAACAAGATAACAGGATGGAAAGTCAACTTCTATCTTGTTGACAAGAGATTCGTGTTTCCTGATTCCAGCCTTTTCCTCTCAGCTGACTTGTTTTGTGTGTGTGTGTGTGTGTTTGTACCCTGCATACACTGGAGGTTCTCATGGGTACCCAAAACAATTCTGAAGATACTGGGCTGTCAGTGCAGAGTTCAGGGCCAGTTTATTGCTGTGAAATTTGTTCACCTTTGAATTTAATTATTTAAAGATCCCTCTTGATTTTGTTTCTGTTTCTCTTCCTACAGAGTGTTTGGGATGTTCACACACACCGAAGACAGAGAGACTGTCTATGCTTGGTTCACGTTTTCCCACTGGCTTGTGTATGCTAACAGTGCTGCTAACCCAATCATTTACAACTTTCTCAGTGGTGAGTGTCCAGTGTTTCATCAGGAGCCTCACCTCAGTGGTGGAGCTTCCAGAGCAGATGCTCTGGAACAGTTCGGAAGGAGATACAGACATCAGTGTCTGTTGTGTGGGAGCCATGACAGCCCCTGACTGGATTGGTTTTGGATTTCTCCTTTTTGGAAGTGAATACATAGCACATAGCATTTCAGAGGGCATTGTGCAATATTTTCTCAGAAAACTTAGAATAAACAGTAAATGGAGCAGTAAAAATTTTGAGTACCATACACTCCTTTGATCAAACCTACGATTAAAAAGTATGAAATACCTTTATCTGTTTTGCATTGATATTTTTTTTGTCAAAATGCATGGCATAATTGAAACCAACCTGCTTTCAGAGATTTCTATACTTAAGTTCCTTGAAGAATTCTCACTTGCCAAAAAAAAAAAGGATTTCTCATAATAACACTTAAGCTAAAAGATACACACATCCATAACTAATTCAGCACACCTCTGCAATATATTTTACATATATTACTATTTATTATATGTTACGTATATATGTATATGCAATGAATATGATATCATCTAACCCCACTTCTTCCCTTCAAATCTTTGTCATGGTCTCCCAAACATCCCCATACCAAGTTCATGTTAGTTTTTGTTTTAATAGCTCACTAACTCCATTTAGAACTGCCCATAAGGATGTAAGTGTGAGCCATCCCCTGGAGCTTGGGAAACCTACAGGTGGCCCCATCAGAGCTATGCTGCAATTATCTATATTTTTGTACTATTTTGTTCCCAATTACTTGGCTATGTATTTGTTTCCCTTTCTAACTATATAGTCATTTTTATATTCAAGAAAACTATTTACTGTACATTTAATAAAGAGCATGTGCCTTCCGATTTCATATTGGCTTTTTGATTTGCATGATTTGTCTAAGTACTTAGAACAGATAGAGGAAGACTTGATGGGGAGATAATTACAAATAGAAGGATCTATTATAGATCTCAAAAGTTAGAAGATAAAAAAGGATTTTCTGTTTTGCTATGAATACATAACAAATGTTTGCATCTGTTTAATTCCATTTAAGCTTTGATAACTGCATACATTTGCTGAAATATTACATGGCAATCTAGAAATATACTTTTTATAATTTCACAAATTAAAAAAGTTTAGTTGGTAAAATAAAAAGGACAGCCAATTTTATTTCAGAAAAGTAAGTTTGTCACTTTTTAAATAGTTGCTGAACACACGCGGGCTAGTGCTCTGACCTGGCACTGGGTAGGTGAAACCTATACGGAAGTTGGGCTGCAACTGTTTGATGCAGAAGGCACAGACCAAAGCAGAGTCCTGGTATGAGGTTAAGTTGGGCCACAGACTATGACCTGGTGTGTGCCTGCCGTTTTCTTAGGCCTGGGAACGGTCTCCACACCTAGTCCCTCAGAAGCATAGGCCCAGAGAGAAGAAAGAACAGTTTCCAAGAAAAAACAACCTTCACTCTAATAAAGGTGATCATTTCATCACCTTAAATGCCTAAAATCTCACTAATAGGTCAAAGATAAGTACTTGCTATAATTCTTCCAGTTTCTTGTTTTTCCTATTTTGTCACACATGGGATATGAAAGCAGAGTTTTCATAAAAACTATAATTTATTTTTCCCCGTTTTGTGACCTCTCGTGGTTTCAGCATCTTTATAATATAGCACACCTCAGTTTATTTACTTATACACAATGTAGATAAATTTTTCATTGCTTTTGAAGCAATCAAGTGCCTTACAGGGTTAAAAACTAACGAGAAACACAAGGGTTTTGACTTTAAGGAAAGAAAACAAACGCCAAGTATTATATGAAAATACTTCATCTTTTAATTTCCTTTCTCTATTTCCTTTATTGATACAAAATACTCCACCTCACGGATACTGTGGCTCAAGGGAACGACTCATTTGTACCCTGCGCACTCGGTGTTGAGAGCTGTTGATACATAACTCACTCTCCTTTCATTCTCTCTGGTCTGCCAGGAAAATTTCGAGAGGAATTTAAAGCTGCCTTTTCTTGTTGTCTTGGGGTTCATCATCGCCAAGGAGATCAGCTCGCAAGGGGACGGACAAGCACAGAGAGCAGGAAGTCCCTGACCACGCAGATCAGCAACTTTGATAACGTATCAAAACTCTCAGAGCACGTGGTGCTTACCAGCATAAGCACACTCCCAGCAGCCAACGGGGCAGGACCGCTTCAAAACTGGTAGACTATTTATTGCTATGCTGAGGACACCCGACTCAAACTATTCTTTTATACAGACTCTATGAACGGAAGTTTTAGTATCCAGTTGATCTAAACCTAAAATTATTTGTCAATCCATTTTTTTTAATCGATCACTCCTTGGAAATAACCAAATTTGAAATACTTCCTGAACCATTTACTCGAACATGTTATACCTTTAAACTGCAGTTGGATATATTTTAGGCTATTTCTTCTTAGTTTTTCGAACTGAAGTTTGTGGCAATTAAGGGTTTAAACATTTCTAATTCTTTTTATAACTCCTTGTTATTTTAATTCCACAACTCAAAATGGTTGCTAAAAATCACAGAAAATCAATCATTTTCTTTCGACTAATAAACTAAGTAACAATTATTAACTAAGTTAACAACAGACATATGTTAATTGACTTAATACTTTTTAAAAAATTCACAAAACTATCATTACAATGTGCTAACTGGGAGACTATGTCTGAACAGAAGAGTATACAATTTGTATATCTTCAAAATCTATCGTTGAGGATCACATGACATATATACTATTAAGCTTAATTTGCCACTGATTTTATCTTTCATTTACTAAATGTTCTCAGGTTTATAACTTGACAATAGCTAAGATGTGTGTGTGTGTGTGTGTGTGTATGTGCAATACAGAATCAAAATGACTGTATTAAAGTAAAAAATTTTTCAGCAGCAGCAACTACTAATACATACTCATCTTCATCTCTGGGAAGGAGTTAACGTTTAAATTAAGAGCTAAAAATCAGGTTATTGTATTCTTCAAACTAGGGAGAAAGAGTTAGTCAGCCTGGCAGGAGAAAGAATGTGAGGGCATGGTGGTGAACTTAGGAAGTGAGGGAAGGGAAGCTGCAGCCAGAGCTTGAGAAGGGCTGTAGACTCCAGGTCTGGGACAGGGCTTCACAGCTGAGTCTTTAGCGGCTTGCACTAGGCTAGGATTTGGTCCCCATCACTGAAAACAAACAACAGCAAATAAACGATACAAGGCTTGTTGTGGTCTAGTGAGGAAGAAATGCTGAGGATTCTCAGGCCTGGCGGATTAGTCACACAACCAAAGACAGTGGTCCCCACCACACACTGGCAGTACTGTTACAACCCCCAGTGCATCCCCATTTAGTTATACTACATTCTCTGTGTTAGTAATTTTAGCATGCCTGAGGCTAAGAGATGGGAAGTTAGGAAAATAAAAGGCTGGCTACTAACTCATTCACAAATAGAAAGTATAGAGTATATTTTGTATAAATGTAAGTCAGGGAACTGAAATGATAAATTTTTTTCAGATTTCTTCTTTGCAAAATTCTTCCGGCGCAAGTATTCATTTCTAAATTAAAAGTTTCTAAGTATACTCCATCTCATACTGAACAGTAGACACTCCGATTATATCAAAACAGGATGTATTTAATATTTAAGAGAGATTTGATTTGAAAATAATTACATTGTCAGGTTGCCTTTGCCCAACTTTTCATTCTCAGAGAAAAACAATACAACAAAATTATCCATACTTTCTTTTCAAAAGTTGAGGATTTTGTTACAATGTGCCTTTTAGTACTCTAAGCCAGGACTACCCTCATATATGAGGTTTATCAAAACTATATGGCTGAGTATTGTGATGTTCTCTGTCTATGAAAATGATTATTTTTAGTGTCTCCTTTCTCCCCTTTGAGAGCTTTGTCTACCACATACTACATGAAAGGAGAACTGTAGTTTTATGATTGTGGTGACATTTAGCACTTTAAGATTTGAAGATAACTTCAAATTCTCTGGGTAATAAGCCTTAATAGCCTTGAAGCTCAATAAAGATGACATATTGACTTTATCCAATATAATTGAGCTTCATTAAGGCTAAGCTGTTAGACAGTATTAGATCCTAAGATGCCAGTTCTTGTTATATAAACGAGAGGAGAGGTCTTGAGAGGGCAAGGGGTGGAGAAGGATGAAAAAATAGGGAATGGGAGGGAAGGGAGATAGAGAGAGAGAGAGAGAGAGAGAGAGAGAGAGAGAGAGAGAGAGCGAGCTATAGGGGAGTAGGGAAAAGAAGTGGTATTGGTATGGTCAATCAAAAGTCAGAATTTTTTTGTTCTAAATTAGTGATCCTTAATGTGGTGTGGTCCCTGAACCATCAACACCTGCAGTCCCCAGGAACTAAGATTAAATAGATATCCCAAACTTATTGAACCTGAATGAATGCCTTGGGCTTGATATCCAAAAGTGTATTTGCTTACAAATTCTACAGGTGATTATTGATGCACTTTAGCCTTGAGAACTACTGCTCTAAATGGTGTCTCCGTTAGCCCATCTTATTAGCCCGTGTGAAATAAAGTCTTTTACTGCACAGGTATCTACAGCAGGGAGTACCATCTTCACTACTATCGACCTGGCTGGAGGTCTGAGAGAAGAAGCTGAATGTCCATGTGGAGTCTCACCCACGTCATCTCAAAGAGATAATGGTTTACAAAAACAGTTGTCACTGTGTTCTTAGTGTGATGTTAAAGAAGATGGATTTTAAGGCACTTGTGCGCTTTATAAGGGACCTGGATGACTGGAGATTTTATTAAAAGTTCTCAGTTACCGATTTTATTTACTAAAGTTTCTGTTTTATGGAAGCAGCTCATTTTCAGGAATAAGTATTGCCTGGAAGAAAACTGTTGAATAAAACTGATATATAAATGAAACTCTGGGAATGGAATCATGAAGTATGTACATATTTCTCAACATTAGGGCCATGAATCCTGAGTGATATGAATTAATATGGTGACCTTTGTAGGACAAATGGTTAAAAAAAAGTAGCCCCCAAAACATAGCAGTGTTATTGGGGTGCTTAACTACTTACCTCATTGTGTGCTACTGGCACAGATGAGGAAATTTATAGGAACAGTTTATTTTGGAGCTCAGTTATGCTGATCATTGGACATGTATCTGCTTTTATTTCTATTGTATTTCAAACCTTCAATGTGAGATGTTAATGTCACTAATTTTGTCACTAATAAGGATGGTGTAATAATTTTATCAAATATATTTGAGATTAATGATTTATGAATTTTTATTATATAATAAAACCTTGATATTTGAGTTTATTCATTTGGGGCTAAAAATCATCCCAAGTTTGTGAGGAAAAAAATGTGATTCCTAAATTTTCCACAATGTGGAATTAAGTAGCTATAAATTATTGATAAGTTTAGTGCAAAAGTGTTAGGCACAGTAATACTCAGTTTCACCCCAATGCACATTGATTCAGGAAGAATAGCAGCTATGTTCACAAGTGACAATACGAATGTGTCTAGAGATGTTACTAACCATACCTGAAATGAGGGCTATTAGCACTTTGATACAATGTAACAATATCAGGTTTGCATTAGCGATGAATCGAACAAGCATCAACTCCATCTCAAAATACACAGATAGTCCTTACAATTAGAGACATTTCAGCAGAATTCAATTTTCCACAGGTAACTCTTCTACTTCGTGTCACAACCAAAAGCATAAATTCCATTAGATTATTTTCAAATAGTTTTCTCATTGTGTGACACAAAATAATGGGATTGGGGGGGTCATTATATAAGTATGAAAGTAGTAATTTACAACCCATTCTATTCCTTTATGCACATCATGAAATCACAGGGACGTGAAGAGCACTGTTAGTTCTCCCAGTTCAAAGGGAATGTTTTCCCTACAGTTTTCTGCTATTGCAAAGGGGAACAAAAGACTTCCCAACTTGCCACGTATTTCTTCTATTCTTTTCAATTTTCTTTATAGACTTTGGAGTTAGAAAATATAGATTTTTTTTCATGAAATGTGTTTCTGTTATTGTATCCATGTTTGAATCAGCATGTCAGTTGTTCGACAAGTATACATTTAAAGTCCTTTATGCCTGATTGTACTGTGTTTTCATAAATATCTTTCTTATTCAAACAATGTGACTGTACGTCTCCCATTGTGAAAGTCCAATTATGTAGTTTTTAAGTAAAATATCGCTGAGAGGTCCATAATCACATCTACATTGTCCTGCTGTCCTCTGTGAAAAATTACGTTGTTGTTCAATACATAAATTGGATATTTGCTCATAATTATTGTCAACTCTTTGCAGGTAAGGATTGAATTAACCCTGATGTTGTACTTGATGACCAAAATATTTTTCCAATAAGTTTATATAACCAGGGATAATTATGATATAAAGGATTTTTAATATTGTTTCTAAGAAGGAGGTACTATAATAAAGGCTAATATTAAACACGCAAATATTTCATAAAAGCTATATAAAGCCACACACTTATAGAACTAAAAATTGAAGCTTTTATCTGAGTCAGAATTTTCCTGTGTTTGTGACTTAGAATATTGACCCCCTTAATTTTCAGAGCCTGCAAATGCATGAGTTAGAATTTTCAGTAGGTAATTAAACTTTTAAACTAGACCTCTAGTTGGCTCTTCATTTACCCAGTTGATTCTCACAACTTCAGGATCCAGTGCAGATGGTTTAAATTTATAAAATTCATTCCTATTCAGAACATTTTATACTAACCTTTGTGAAAACTTAAAATGATCAAGGTAATCATTTGATTCATACGGAAGGAAGTATGATTGAAACAGCATGTGGCTTCCCTGGAGGAAGAGAGCTATTTTGAAATGAGGTTCCAAGAGGAATGAGTAAGAATATTGTGGGCTAATCCACAGTCACACCCTAGACACCAGCCCTGAAGAGAGGGAAGAGCATCTGGCCTTCCATTCAAGCCAATGGCAATGTACCAAGAGTGACAGAGAAATTGTGGAGGGGTTCTCCAGTCTTGTCCCCTTCACCTGATTCTGGTTGGTCACCTGTCCTGTGTCTCGCCAAGTCCACCCTCATCCTGCACTCCACAGCCCCAGATCTGCTCACCACCCTAAAATCAAACTCCATTAGGCTCTCCTTGTCTCCTGAAGTGAACAATGAACAAATTTCAGAAAAATTTGAATCAAAGCCCCTAGGAAATGAACATGGAAGTGCTAGAGTCTCCGTGGTAGGATGTACAGGTCTCTGTGCATATACCCAGGAAAAGAATAACAATGTCCTGTGTTCGTTCTATTTTTAGCAATTTGAGGAATCTTCCTACCAATTTCTCCACTGGTGGCATCAGTTTATATTCCCATCAGGAGAGAGAGTTACTGTTTCCCTACATTCTTGCTAACATTTGCCGTTTGTTTTCTTGATGGAAATTCTGACGGCGTGATATAGACTATCAAAGTGGTTTTCATCTGCATTTCCCTCTTGACTAATGATATTGAACACTTTTTCAAATATCCATTGGTCATTTGTGTTTTTTCTTCTTTTGAGAACTGGAGGATGTTAGTGTTCACTTAGTGTTCAATTTTTGCATATATATATGTATATATATATATGTATATATATACATATATATGTGTGTATACATTTATATACAGGAAATCTGTATTTTGCTTAATCTCACCTTTTCAAATATACAAAATGTATATAGTATGTATAATAATTTTCATGTTATTTTTTGAGATTGCATTTGATACTAATTATTTTAATAAATAAATGAAGTCATGCAGAAACCCGGGAATTAAAAAGTACTGAAAATTTAAAGAGATGGATGTTAAGCTGTGAAGCTGAGAGGTAGATAAAATGTATTTACATACATGTAGTTTCAGAAAGTAATTTCTTTTTCAAAGTTACTAAGCCTGTATCATGGACATAAGACTTTAAATTTTAAAGACCTTAAAATTTAAAGTTTTTAAAATTTATTGACAAATACAAATGGAGATTTAGAGTCTCAGTCTCAAAGAATATGACCTGTGCAGACAAGATCTGTGAGATCCAATTCCGAGGACAGGATAGGTTATTTTTGTCCAGGCCTCAGTTGAAGTGTGAATTGGTTTGGTTTATGTATCTCAGAACTCCCAGGTGTGATCTGGTAACTCTATACATCATGGTAGAGCAGAAGCATAATTTTTACTTAGAAATATTTCCCACAAATCATTTTTGAAATTTCAGATCTATTTTGTTATTTCTTAAGTGTTTTCCCCAAATCCTGATGTACACCTCAGTTATTATAATGGTTAGTGTTAGCTGTCAATTTGAACAATCTGAGAGTTGGGTCTCCGGAAAACTGCCTTAATTTTGTTAATTGATATGAGAAGATCCATCCATTATGGATGACAACATTCCATGACTGTGATCCAGAACTATATTTGCAGAAAAAAGGAAGCTGAGAAACAGCACACACTCATTGCTCTCTGTTCTTGTGGATGGAGCCCGCTGCTTCAAGTTCCTGGTGCTTTCACTTCTTCCACCATAATATACTGTAATCTTGAACTTTATGCCAAAAAAGCCCCTCCTCCTGTAAGTTATGTCCATAAGGAAGATATATCAAGAAAAGAAAGCAGCAAGACAAGAAACTAAGACAGGATTTTCTTAAGGTTAAAGAGTAAACATTTTGAAAAATGTAAAATTATCTTGTTAAATGTTACATCATCGTTGATCTCTTTGGTGTCCTTTAAGCACACCACAGTACCAATTTTCTCCCCAAGTCAGTGTAGAACCGAGCCTTTTCTTTCCTACTGAGGTATAGTTTCCTGCAGAGAGGGGACCACACTCTATTCAAATGGTTCCTGTGCCAACCAGTGCCTAGCACAGTGCCTCTCAGGAAATCTAAAAATCCCTTTTCTAATTAACTAAGGAAGTGACAAGATCTCTCCACAGCACTTCACATCACTGAATTTTGCAATCTTAAGGACAAGGGGGAATAAGGGCAATGTCCTACTGAGCATTATTTTAAAATTTTCTTTCTATTTTTACATATGCATCTATGTGTACGTGTGCATGCACCTGTGTTTGGGTGCCAACAGAGGTCAGAAGAGAGCATCAGATCCCCTAGAGCTAGAGTTATTGGTGGTTGTAAGACACCTAATATGGGTGCTGGAAACCAAACTTGGGTCTTCTGGAAAAGCATCAAGTCTTCTTAACCACTGAACAATCCCTCTAGCCACCCTTGGTAACGTTCACTACTGTTAACTTCAATTACTTAAGAAAAAATATCCTGATTGAGTAATTGTCTTTATCAGCTTGCTCTGGGGACATGCCTGTGATGGATTGTTTGGATTGGCTTCATTTTGCAGAAGGGCCTAGCCCACCATGAGAAGTTTAATCCCTAGGCAGATGATCCTGGATTGTATAAGAATGTTGAAGAGCATGAACCTGCAAGCAAGTCAGAGTGAGCCAGCAAACAGTATCCTCAATGACTTAGGCTTCAAATTCCAGCCTTGAGTTCTTGCTCTGCTTAAGCTAAGAGTTCCTCTTTCTCTTCAAGTTGCTTTGGTCAGAGTGTTTTATCAGGGCATCAAAATAAAATTAAGAAGTTGGTAACAAAAAAGTAGTGTTTCCTATTTAGCCAGATAT